AAAGGGAGAGACGTGCGCAGGAAACATTACAGAGAATAGCACAATCAACACGTGGAGGCTTGCAGAATGAAACTCATGTGCTGAGATCTGCAATGTTGCACAGGCAGGCAGAAGCAAAACGGCACAGAAGACAAAATGACACAAGGCAAATTGATTCCAAATAATAATACTTTTTTTACCAAAAATGTTGTGTATACAGAAGTTTTATGATGGGATAAATGATGGAATACAGAATACAGCTAAAGAATATCTTCAGTCTGTAATACAGAAATACTGTTTGCTGTGTATTGATCTGTTAACATTACTTTTTAACATGAAAATTTGTATATATTTATACTTGATTTTTTAATTATATTAATTCTATTGAACAATTTTGACTAAAGAATAGCTTCACTTTCTCATGTACAAATACTGTTTGCGTATTGATTTTTTAAGTTTAGTTTCTAAGATGAAGTGTTGTATACATTTATATATATTAAGTGCATCAAACTTTTAAAAATTAAGCACGCACAACTTTCATATATTAAGTGCATTAAACATGTCTCATAGAAATTTGTAAAACTGCTAAAACGCCCACTAAGGGGCGTCCCGGGCTACTAGTGTATATATATACAATGAAAAATGGTAATAAGTAAAGGCTTTAAATAATTAATTAGCATGACAATAATTATTATTTATATGCTGTATTTTTGTGGAATGACCAGCATGCTGGTCTGTCTGGGAAGACCATGAAATTATATATTTTTGTATGGTAAAAACTGGCATGCCAGTTCAGGTTCAAGTAATGTTATACATCCCTCCTTAGAGGGCGCATTAAAAAAATGAGTGAGTTACATGATGTACTTTATGTTTGTAGAATGACTGGCATTCCACACAAAACTAAGGGAGACCAGCATGACAGTCAAACTGCAACTAAAGAATAAAATTAATCAGATGTAACAAAATTAATTGTTAATTAAGTGTTAAAGAAAGCATTCTTCCAAGCACAATAAAATAACATTATAATTTGGCTGACTTAAAATCAGACTTTTCATTTACAGTGCAATAAATGGCTTATTGACATTAGTAGTAGTAGAACTTAGTCAGTATAGCCCACACTGACTATCTACCCTGGCCTTAAAAATAACACCTTCCTCTCAAATTTCATACAAAAGGGATGGATGTTAATCAGTGTATAAGTCAAGATAATTTATGGCCAGTTTCTGAAATTTAATATGCTTATTTTTGCATTTTTAAATTCAATTATAATAAAATAAATTTAAAAAAACAGCACTTTCATCATCCCATGAGTATTTTACATCTTTAGAAAGAAGACAAAATGAAGAAATTAAAAATATAATTGTAGATTTTGATATCATGCTGACAGTTTTGCAGTTTTAGAATAACTTGTTTGTTTTTTTAAATGTGCCCGCTAGAGAGGGATGTATAACCTCACTTAAACCAGCATGCCAACATTCTCCCAATATAAACTGGCATGCCAGTTTTTACGATACTGATTTCATGGTCTCCCCAGATAGACCAGCATGCCAGTCATTCAGCAAAAATATGGTAAAAACAAATGAGTTTTATTCTAGAACAGTGAAACTGTTAGCATTACATCAAAAATTACAATTATATGTTAATTTCTTCATTTTGTCTTCTTTCTAAGGACAAAATATTTCTGAAAGTGCCTTTTTTTTTGTGTATTTTATTGTTATATGATTAAAAAATAAACATATTAAATTTAAAAAACTTTCTGTAAATTATCTCACCAATTAACATCCACTTTGTGTGAAATTTGAGAGGAAAGTGTTATTTTTAAGGTCAGAGTAGATGGTCAGTGTATTTCTGNTCTGTAATACAGAAATACTGTTTGCTGTGTATTGATCTGTTAACATTACTTTTTAACATGAAAATTTGTATATATTTATACTTGATTTTTTAATTATATTAATTCTATTGAACAATTTTGACTAAAGAATAGCTTCACTTTCTCATGTACAAATACTGTTTGCGTATTGATTTTTTAAGTTTAGTTTCTAAGATGAAGTGTTGTATACATTTATATATATTAAGTGCATCAAACTTTTAAAAATTAAGCACGCACAACTTTCATATATTAAGTGCATTAAACATGTCTCATAGAAATTTGTAAAACTGCTAAAACGCCCACTAAGGGGCGTCCCGGGCTACTAGTGTATATATATACAATGAAAAATGGTAATAAGTAAAGGCTTTAAATAATTAATTAGCATGACAATAATTATTATTTATATGCTGTATTTTTGTGGAATGACCAGCATGCTGGTCTGTCTGGGAAGACCATGAAATTATATATTTTTGTATGGTAAAAACTGGCATGCCAGTTCAGGTTCAAGTAATGTTATACATCCCTCCTTAGAGGGCGCATTAAAAAAATGAGTGAGTTACATGATGTACTTTATGTTTGTAGAATGACTGGCATTCCACACAAAACTAAGGGAGACCAGCATGACAGTCAAACTGCAACTAAAGAATAAAATTAATCAGATGTAACAAAATTAATTGTTAATTAAGTGTTAAAGAAAGCATTCTTCCAAGCACAATAAAATAACATTATAATTTGGCTGACTTAAAATCAGACTTTTCATTTACAGTGCAATAAATGGCTTATTGACATTAGTAGTAGTAGAACTTAGTCAGTATAGCCCACACTGACTATCTACCCTGGCCTTAAAAATAACACCTTCCTCTCAAATTTCATACAAAAGGGATGGATGTTAATCAGTGTATAAGTCAAGATAATTTATGGCCAGTTTCTGAAATTTAATATGCTTATTTTTGCATTTTTAAATTCAATTATAATAAAATAAATTTAAAAAAACAGCACTTTCATCATCCCATGAGTATTTTACATCTTTAGAAAGAAGACAAAATGAAGAAATTAAAAATATAATTGTAGATTTTGATATCATGCTGACAGTTTTGCAGTTTTAGAATAACTTGTTTGTTTTTTTAAATGTGCCCGCTAGAGAGGGATGTATAACCTCACTTAAACCAGCATGCCAACATTCTCCCAATATAAACTGGCATGCCAGTTTTTACGATACTGATTTCATGGTCTCCCCAGATAGACCAGCATGCCAGTCATTCAGCAAAAATATGGTAAAAACAAATGAGTTTTATTCTAGAACAGTGAAACTGTTAGCATTACATCAAAAATTACAATTATATGTTAATTTCTTCATTTTGTCTTCTTTCTAAGGACAAAATATTTCTGAAAGTGCCTTTTTTTATGTGTATTTTATTGTTATATGATTAAAAAATAAACATATTAAATTTAAAAAACTTTCTGTAAATTATCTCACCAATTAACATCCACTTTGTGTGAAATTTGAGAGGAAAGTGTTATTTTTAAGGTCAGAGTAGATGGTCAGTGTATTTCTGTATTTCAATTTATTTTCATTGTATTTAAGTTTTTACTAATTAAATTTAATGCAAATTATATACACACATATGTAATTTGCAATAATAATAATAATAATAAATCATTATACTCATAATTGTTGGTAAAAATTTTTTATCTGATTAGGATATGCTTGGGCCGAAGACAAAGAACATTGTGAAGAATATGGAAGGATGTTAAATGCTGATCCAAATAAAGTTTCAATGAAAGCAAAAAAACGTGGTCTTCCTCAAGTAGGTTGTTTTTATAATATAATTTTAAATATGTTTAAATGAAAAACTATTTGTTTAAAACTAATTTTAAATACATTATTTTTTTAAAAAATAATGGACTGTTGAATCAAAATGCATTTATCACAATAAAAATATTGAAGAGAAGTAAATTAATTTTTATTTAATTACTCTTTAGTGTCTAATTTTTAAATAGCTTTATTGTGGATGAACAGTCAGAAAAGAAGTTTATATTTTAACAACTAACTACTTTTTTTAGATGTTTACAAAAAACTGACATGACTTTTTTGAAAAGTTTTCAAGTTAAATCTTTGTATACTTTTCAATGTTTTAATAGTTTTTTTTTTTTTAATTTTAGTCAATTTTTAAAAATATTTTAATAATATATACAATGGGTGATTGGTTAACGAACAGCTCGGATAGCGAACAAATTGGATAACGAACACTTTCATGAAAGATTTTTATGATCAGACAATGAACACATGTTTGGATAATGAACACTTTACTGAACAAACATAAAAAGAAGCAACAGAAAATAATGATTACTGATTGATTTTTCCCTTGTCTTCAGGTAATCATTTGAAACCTTTCAGAGTGCGGGAGACATCAACATCGACACTCAACCCGATACCAATCAGATAGTATTAATATTCCTCTGAATTTTGAAACTATCCTTTGTAATTCCATCTTTTTGTTTACCTTTCTGACACACAATTTTTTATAGTATTCACGAGACTGTCAGACAGGCACTTGGGGTTTATTTACAAAAGGTGAACGTTTAACTGTCCCATCGGATATTTGTTAATGTTTTAATACCAAATTTCAAATTTCATCCGGGCCTTGCATTTAAATAATTTTTGTGGGCTAGTTGATTTCTGTTCTCTGAATTTTTGTAAATACTTTTCTGAACTTTTTATTTAAAAAAGAAACTGATAATATTTTGGAGCCTAAAAAGAGGAGTGTCAAGAACTGTGCTCACCGTAGAAACCAAGTANTAGAAGACAAAATGAAACTGGTGAGCTGAGATCTGCAAGGTTGCACAGGGAGACAGAAGCAAGACGACATAGAAGACAAAATGAATCTCATGAACAACGATCGGCTAGATTAGAGCCACGCCGACAGCAAAAAGCCAATGAAACTGAACAGCAGCGATCTGATAGATGCCACCTTCAAACAGATGCAGAGAAAAATGCACGCCTAGCATTTAAGAATGCCTCAGTGAATGCTGAAAACAATGATTTTGATTTTCCACAGAATTATCTTGGGCCAATGGACATCATTTGTAAACATTGCCTATCACTTAACTTTGAGGGGGAGAAGACATGTAATCATCACGATCAATTCTCAAGATGTTGCCAGAAGGGGCAAGTACAACTGTCTAAGTATAAGCCTTACCCTGAAACATTTCGGTGCCTCTTGACTGGTGAAGGTCCTGAGAGCAAGCATTTTATGAAATGTATTCGATCTTACAACAGTTCATTTGCATTTGCATCTACAGGTGCCAATGTGAAGCCACCTGCTGGAAATGGACCCTACTGCTTTCGAGTGTGCGGACAGATAGTACACCGAACTGGAACACTTCACCCGAATGAGCAAGAACAGAGGAAGTTTGCCCAAATTTACATTCTTGATTCAGATGAAGCAGCACAGCATCGCATGAGTCTCCCCGAAAATAAACATTGTAATGAAAATATCATGAGGATAATTGGAGAGGTAATGCAAAACAATTCAATAGCACAAGCCCTCAAGATGTTACATGAGGTTGAGAGAGAAGCAATTGAGAAGGCAGAGAATGAAGGAATTGAACCAACTAAATTGGCATTAGCCATTGTCCATGATAAAAAAAATGACAAGAGAAGATATAATAGTCCAACTGGAAATGAGGTGGCAATTGTCTTCCAGACAAAAGATGGAGAGCCTCCACTTCAAAGAGATATAATTATACATCTCAGACCTGATTCTCTAAACCCAAATGGAGGGATACAACGAGTAAGTATACTACACGAAAAGCTGGATGCATTGACATACCCCATACTGTTTCCTGGAGGAGACGACGGATGGACAACCACAATTGCAAGAGTAAAGAAGAATGGGGCACAGACACGAGAAAGAATAAGTATGAAGGAATATTTCTCTTACAGATTGTCTCCTCGATATGATGAATTTAATCCGATATTGAGTGCGGGAAAATTGACACAACAATACATGGTGGATGCTTATGTGAGAGCTGAGGCGAATGACTTGAACTGGGTGAAAAATAATCAGTCAACATTGAGATCAGAGAAATATAATGGTTTAATGGATGCGATAGAATGGGATGAGGAAGTTCATGGGAGTAATAACCTGATAGGAAAAGCAGTTATACTGCCTTCAAGTTTCCAGGGTGGAGTACGAAACATGCAGCAGTATTATCAAGATGCTATGGCCATTGTCACAAAGTATGGAAAGCCTGATTTATTTGTAACAATGACTTGCAACCCAAAATGGAAAGAAATAACTGAAAATCTCAAACCTTGGGAAAAATCTGAATTCAGACCTGACTTGGTCGCACGAGTATTTCACTTGAAACTTAAACAACTTCTTGATGACATTACAAATAGGCGTAAGTCATTATTTGGGAAGGTTCTTGCACATGTGCATGTTATTGAGTTTCAGAAGAGAGGTCTTCCACATGCACACATTCTGATCATCTTAGACACGGACGAAAAAATTACCACTCCTGAAGATATTGATAAAATTGTGAAAGCAGAGATTCCAGATAAAGAGACTTCGCCACGACTTTTTGAAATAGTCACGAAACATATGATCCATGGACCATGTGGGAGGAGAAACCCTTCAAGTCCCTGCATGGTTGACAGTGATTGCACGAAGAACTTCCCAAAGTCCTTCTGTGATGCTACGCTTGGAAATTTGGATGGATATCCATATTATAGACGACGGAATCAAGGATCTGTTGAGGTGAATGGGAAGTTGATAGATAATAGCTGGGTTGTTCCTTACAATCCATACTTATTACTAACATATAATTGTCATATAAATGTGGAGATCTGTTCATCAGTAAAGAGTGTGAAGTACTTATACAAGTATGTATACAAAGGTCATGATTGTGCAAACCTTTGTATTACTGAGAGGAACGAAAGAGATGAGACGAAGGAGTATGTGGACTCACGATATGTGAGTGCACCTGAAGCGATTCATCGAATTTTTAGATTCAAGATGCATGATCAGTCGCACACTATCTATAGACTACCAGTACATCTGCAAAATGAACACATTGTGTACTTTCAACAGGGAAATGAACAGCTGGCTGCACATCGAGCTCAGAGGAAAGATACGAAATTGACAGGATGGTTTAAGTTGAATGTAGTAGATGAAACTGCGCATGACTTTACTTATTCCGAAATATCCAAACACTTCGTTTGGAAGGATACGACTGCAATGTGGGAAAGGAAACAAATGGGAGGAGAGAAAGTGATTGGGAGAATGGTAAATGTAAGTATTAAAGACCCAGAAAGATACTATCTTCGATTACTTTTATGCCACGAAAAGGCAGTGACATCTTTTCAACACTTACGAACAATTGTGGTGAACAACGAGTCCGTTCAGGTAGGTACCTTTTGAGAGGCTGCGAAGTGCAAGGGATATCTTTTGGATGACACAATTTTGCAAGACACAATTCATGATGCCATTGTTTATGCAATGCCATTCCAGCTTAGGCAAATGTTTGCTTATATTCTGTGCTTATGGTCTTCCCTCTGATGCTCTTAAGTTATGGAATGATAATTTACAGTATTTGACAGAGGACGTTTGCTCTGAGCGACATCTCAAACAGGGTGAATGTCAAAGATGTGCCGAGTATGCACTTAAGGATGTAAAAGATACCCTGACTCTTCTTGGTCATTCACTCTGCAATTTCAATTTACCTGATGTGGGCTATGATTTGCCAAGTATGAATCAGATTATCCATGATTCAGATGTTGAGCAGGAGGCCGCTGATGAGATGATTAGATCTTTGAATGATGACCAACGACAAGCATTTACAACAATAATCAATGCTGTGAATGATGAAGAGATCTACCCTAAATGTTTTTTCCTGGACGGTCCCGGAGGAAGTGGGAAGACATATTTGTATCGAACTCTTCTTCATTACTTTCGAGCAAGGAATGAAATTGTCATTCCCATAGCATCAACCGGAATTGCGGCAAACTTGCTCAGTGGAGGTAGAACCTACCATTCTCTGTTTAAGTTACCTTTAGAAGTCAATGAGACATCCATTTCAAACCTGAGTTTGGAGTCGAAAGATGGAAGAGATGTTAGATTAGCAAAGTTGCTTATCTTGGATGAATGCACCATGGCATCGAGCCATGTTATGAATGCCATTGACAAAACTCTAAGAGAGGTAACTGGACATCAAATTTCATTTGGTGGGAAGGTAAAATTACTTGGAGGTGACTTTCGGCAATGCTTAAACATTCTCCCGCACGCAATGCGACCAGCGATTGTCCAGTCTGGACTTAAGTATTGTGATTCTTGGAGCTTCTTTAAGAAACTCACATTGAGTACGAATATGAGATCACAGGACCCTAAATATAGTGAATGGCTGTTGAAATTGGGAAACGGCACATTGGGAAATTCTCTTGAACTTGAACACACTATCGAGGTTCCCCCTGAATTTCTTTGTGAAGGTGATTTGGTGAAGAAGGTATTTGGTGAGCAAATAACTCCTAATATGATACCAACCATTAAAAATAGGGCTATACTTTGCCCTAAAAATGCTGACGTCGGCAGAATCAATGACGAAGTTTTGAAACTTTTACATGAGCAAGAGGAAAAAACTTATTACAGCTACGATGAGATACAAACTGATGATCACCAGGAAAGATTAAATTACCCTATAGAGTACCTGAACAGTGTACGTGCATCGGGATTACCCCCTCATGAACTCCACTTGAAGGTTGGCACCATCATAATGCTGCTGAGGAACCTCAACACAAAAAGAGGATTATGTAATGGAACCCGATTAGTTGTGATGAGTTTAAGAGATCATGTCATCGAAGCAGAAGTGCTTACTGGGTCCGGATCGGGACAGATAATCCTGATACCACGAACTGATTTAACAAATAATGGTTCTGATTACCCATTTACCCTGAAACGAAGACAGTTTCCTGTCAAGGCTTCGTTTGCAATGACCATCAATAAGTCACAAGGACAGACTCTTGACAGGGTTGGAATTTTTTTGTCTGAACCTGTTTTTGGACATGGACAACTTTACATTGCTTTTTCCAGAGTAAGGAGAGCAACTGATGTCAAAATCAAGATTCTGAAAACATCAGAACAAGGCAAATTGATTCCAAATAATAATAATTTTTTTACCAAAAATGTTGTGTATAGAGAAGTTTTATGATGGGATAAATGATGGAATACAGAATACAGCTAAAGAATATCTTCAGTCTGTAATACAGAAATACTGTTTGCTGTGTATTGATCTGTTAACATTACTTTTTAACATGAAAATTTGTATATATTTATACTTGATTTTTTAATTATATTAATTCTATTGAACAATTTTGACTAAAGAATAGCTTCACTTTCTCATGTACAAATACTGTTTGCGTATTGATTTTTTAAGTTTAGTTTCTAAGATGAAGTGTTGTATACATTTATATATATTAAGTGCATCAAACTTTTAAAAATTAAGCACGCACAACTTTCATATATTAAGTGCATTAAACATGTCTCATAGAAATTTGTAAAACTGCTAAAACGCCCACTAAGGGGCGTCCCGGGCTACTAGTGTATATATATACAATGAAAAATGGTAATAAGTAAAGGCTTTAAATAATTAATTAGCATGACAATAATTATTATTTATATGCTGTATTTTTGTGGAATGACCAGCATGCTGGTCTGTCTGGGAAGACCATGAAATTATATATTTTTGTATGGTAAAAACTGGCATGCCAGTTCAGGTTCAAGTAATGTTATACATCCCTCCTTAGAGGGCGCATTAAAAAAATGAGTGAGTTACATGATGTACTTTATGTTTGTAGAATGACTGGCATTCCACACAAAACTAAGGGAGACCAGCATGACAGTCAAACTGCAACTAAAGAATAAAATTAATCAGATGTAACAAAATTAATTGTTAATTAAGTGTTAAAGAAAGCATTCTTCCAAGCACAATAAAATAACATTATAATTTGGCTGACTTAAAATCAGACTTTTCATTTACAGTGCAATAAATGGCTTATTGACATTAGTAGTAGTAGAACTTAGTCAGTATAGCCCACACTGACTATCTACCCTGGCCTTAAAAATAACACCTTCCTCTCAAATTTCATACAAAAGGGATGGATGTTAATCAGTGTATAAGTCAAGATAATTTATGGCCAGTTTCTGAAATTTAATATGCTTATTTTTGCATTTTTAAATTCAATTATAATAAAATAAATTTAAAAAAACAGCACTTTCATCATCCCATGAGTATTTTACATCTTTAGAAAGAAGACAAAATGAAGAAATTAAAAATATAATTGTAGATTTTGATATCATGCTGACAGTTTTGCAGTTTTAGAATAACTTGTTTGTTTTTTTAAATGTGCCCGCTAGAGAGGGATGTATAACCTCACTTAAACCAGCATGCCAACATTCTCCCAATATAAACTGGCATGCCAGTTTTTACGATACTGATTTCATGGTCTCCCCAGATAGACCAGCATGCCAGTCATTCAGCAAAAATATGGTAAAAACAAATGAGTTTTATTCTAGAACAGTGAAACTGTTAGCATTACATCAAAAATTACAATTATATGTTAATTTCTTCATTTTGTCTTCTTTCTAAGGACAAAATATTTCTGAAAGTGCCTTTTTTTATGTGTATTTTATTGTTATATGATTAAAAAATAAACATATTAAATTTAAAAAACTTTCTGTAAATTATCTCACCAATTAACATCCACTTTGTGTGAAATTTGAGAGGAAAGTGTTATTTTTAAGGTCAGAGTAGATGGTCAGTGTATTTCTGTATTTCAATTTATTTTCATTGTATTTAAGTTTTTACTAATTAAATTTAATGCAAATTATATACACACATATGTAATTTGCAATAATAATAATAATAATAAATCATTATACTCATAATTGTTGGTAAAAATTTTTTATCTGATTAGGATATGCTTGGGCCGAAGACAAAGAACATTGTGAAGAATATGGAAGGATGTTAAATGCTGATCCAAATAAAGTTTCAATGAAAGCAAAAAAACGTGGTCTTCCTCAAGTAGGTTGTTTTTATAATATAATTTTAAATATGTTTAAATGAAAAACTATTTGTTTAAAACTAATTTTAAATACATTATTTTTTTAAAAAATAATGGACTGTTGAATCAAAATGCATTTATCACAATAAAAATATTGAAGAGAAGTAAATTAATTTTTATTTAATTACTCTTTAGTGTCTAATTTTTAAATAGCTTTATTGTGGATGAACAGTCAGAAAAGAAGTTTATATTTTAACAACTAACTACTTTTTTTAGATGTTTACAAAAAACTGACATGACTTTTTTGAAAAGTTTTCAAGTTAAATCTTTGTATACTTTTCAATGTTTTAATAGTTTTTTTTTTTTTAATTTTAGTCAATTTTTAAAAATATTTTAATAATATATACAATGGGTGATTGGTTAACGAACAGCTCGGATAGCGAACAAATTGGATAACGAACACTTTCATGAAAGATTTTTATGATCAGACAATGAACACATGTTTGGATAATGAACACTTTACTGAACAAACATAAAAAGAAGCAACAGAAAATAATGATTACTGATTGATTTTTCCCTTGTCTTCAGGTAATCATTTGAAACCTTTCAGAGTGCGGGAGACATCAACATCGACACTCAACCCGATACCAATCAGATAGTATTAATATTCCTCTGAATTTTGAAACTATCCTTTGTAATTCCATCTTTTTGTTTACCTTTCTGACACACAATTTTTTATAGTATTCACGAGACTGTCAGACAGGCACTTGGGGTTTATTTACAAAAGGTGAACGTTTAACTGTCCCATCGGATATTTGTTAATGTTTTAATACCAAATTTCAAATTTCATCCGGGCCTTGCATTTAAATAATTTTTGTGGGCTAGTTGATTTCTGTTCTCTGAATTTTTGTAAATACTTTTCTGAACTTTTTATTTAAAAAAGAAACTGATAATATTTTGGAGCCTAAAAAGAGGAGTGTCAAGAACTGTGCTCACCGTAGAAACCAAGTAAGAGATAATAGCCAAGGTAGAAAGTGAGCACAAGGTGTCTGATATTGCTAGGCAGTATGGCTTGAACAGGTCTATAGTAGACTCAATCTTAGCTATGAAAGATATATCAAAAACTCTCAAGCTGCTAATCGAGTAATGAAAATTACATCTGAGAAATAAAGAGCATTTTAGAGCTCATAATGGAATCTGAAACTGATCTGATGACAGAACTTCAAGAACTCTCAAATGAAGAATACCAAGAAACTCGGTGAAATGTGTTTTCTTTTGAAAAAGAGGACAAAAGAGGACCAATGTTGACATCTGCTACTAAAGATCTTTTNCTCTCAAATGAAGAATACCAAGAAACTCGGTGAAATGTGTTTTCTTTTGAAAAAGAGGACAAAAGAGGACCAATGTTGACATCTGCTACTAAAGATCTTTTAAAGAAGTGGGAGGATGTCAGAACAACGATCATCCAAGTGGCATCCAAACCAGAATAAGGTTAATGGGGTTGGGGATCTCTACAGTTACTATACTATTAATTACTTCCAAAAAATCGTGAAGAAAAGAGAAAAGCAATTAACATTGGACAAATTCTTTAACCCCCACAAACAGAAAAAACATGACTAACAAAAATGCAAGACTGCATATACAGTAGAGCATCATTTATCTGAAAGTCGGTTATCCGAAATAATTCCAGTTGGCAAATTTAAATTTTCGCTAGTGCTGTGGTGCTGCAATCTTTGGCTATGTCTTGGGCTACTCCAATATTTTTTATGTTTGTGTATGTGTTTTAGCTGGCAGCACTGGCACTTTTGTGTGGTGTTTTCCTGAGGACTGTGTTTCGTGCTGAATCAAACGTTTTTGATACTAGATTAACTTCTAAAATATTTTTTTTTTGTTTTTATATTATTCAATATATTTATTTTGTTTGTAAAAAATAAAGAAATAATTTTTAACTATATAATAGCCACGATTATTTTTAAAAAGTTTACGTTAGGCTTAACATCGACGAAAATTCAATGCGAAGCGACATGCAACGGAGAAAAATTTCAACATGGATAGGTTAATATATTTTTTCGTACATAATCAGTTATCTGAAAAATACATTATCCCAGTGTTTTTCAACCTTCTTGAATATGCGACTCCTTTACAAGTTAAAAAATTCTGGCGACCCCCCAGTGCCATATTAAAACTATATCAGTGATTTTAAAAACTACATATTTAATTTTCTTTCTTTAAATATCGATCGAAAAACCAATTGTACTGTAAAGTAAACAGGCACAGCCTTCTCACTGAAATTCTAGTTTTTTATTATAGTGTAGGACCTACAAACACTTGTCTTTTTCTTTCACCTGCAACCCCCAGGGGGTCGTGACCCCCAGGTTGAAAAACACTGAGTTATCCGAACAACCTCAGTTCCCAATTGATTCGGATAAACGATGCTCTACTGTATATGTATTTATACTATTACATATAATTAAATGTAGTAAAAAAGTATATATTTTTTAAACCTATGGTAATTCGATAATTGGTTAATGAACAATTTGGATAACAAACAAAGTCTTGAAATGGATTATGTTCATTAACCAATCACCCACTGTATATGCATTGAAAAAGTTAGAACTCAATTGCTTTATTCAATCAAAAGTTATAAAAAAAAATCAAAAAACATTAATATTGGGAGTGGAGGTGATTTTGAAAATTTTTTGAAACAAATATATTTATTTTTTGGGAAACTAAAAATTTATATGAGTAAAAAAGTTTCATAATTTGGAAGCTTTTTGAGATATGGCTCCCATCTCCCAATGGTCTGATTTCCTGAACATTTCTAGAAACATTTTTCCCAAATACTTGTATATTCACTCACACTAACATCCATACATATAGGAAAAACCCAGCTTTTTTTTTTGTATTTCTTGACATTTTAAGATCCCAAGTCAAAAAATGTAAAAATCTTGGGTGGGTCATTTTTTGACTGATTGCTACACTTTACCTCTGTTATATAACAGTCTGGAAAATAAAAAGTAACAAAAGTATTTGTTTTAGCAAACTCTTTATAACATTATGTAATAAATTAACAATAATTATTTTAATTTGTAAAGTTAGGTACACTTGGTGCAGGAAATCATTATGCTGAAATTCAAGTTGTTGATGAAATATATGACAAGACATCTGCTAGTAAAATGGGAATTGAGAGTAAAGGACAAGTGTGTGTGATGATTCATAGTGGAAGTCGAGGATTTGGACATCAAGTAGCTACAGGTATTTATAATTATTTTATTCAAATATTTACTGAATAAAAGTATATTATTTAACTTTGTTGATCAAGACATACAAGATGTAAAACTTTAATCAACAAAGTTGTATTTTAATTTAAATAAAAAGTTTGCCATAANACGTTGAGCAGAAGGCCGCTGATGAGATGAT